GTTTAGGGTTTAGGGTTTAGGAAGTGTTGTGTGGGTTGAGCTGCCGCCGCGCATCCCCCAACAAACCCTAAACCCTAAACCCTAAACCCTGGAACCACTAACATGACGCATGCAGTAAACCCTAAACCCTAAACCCTCAACCCTAAACCCTAGACCCTAAACCCTAGACCGTAGGCGCTAAACCCTAAACCCTAAACCCTAGCCAGCAGCCTGCGGTCCTGATCGTCTCGTCGTTCTTACACTAGTGTGCTAAACCCTAAACCCTAAACCCTAAACCCTAAAATATATATGATAAAATAAATAAAAAAACAATAAAATAAAATAAAAATAAAGAAAGAGAGACGATATATAAATACACAACAAAACCCCCTGAGGCGGGAGGCCCCCCCCCAGCCAATCTACTAAACCCTAAACCCTAAACCCTAAACCCTAAACCCTAAACCCTAAACCCTAAACAAAACCCTTCTCCGATTGAATTCTTTATTTGATACAAATTGCGAGTATGTGTACTACCGATTGAAGCCAGAAGCTTAGGGTTTAGGGTTTGTGGTTTAGGGTTTAGGGTTTAGGGTTTAGGGTTTAGTAGTCGGCGGCAGCGAGCACATCCTCCTAAACCCTAAACCCTTATTTTATACAAAAAATAAAAAAAAGGGTTTAGGGTTAAACTACATTTTGCTTTTCTCATCTTCTCTGCAGCTGTCACCCTTCTCTAGGGTTTAGGGTTTAGGGTTTAGGGTTTAGGGTTTAGGGTTTAGGGTTTACGACTGCAGCAGCAGCATTTGACCCCACACAGGCCTGCTGTTGCTGCTGCTGCAACACAAATACCAACCAGCAGCAACAGCAGCAGCAGCAGCAGCAACAGTAGCAGCAGCAGCCGCAGCAGCAGCAGCAGCAGCAGCAGCAGCGCCGGCGCCTGCTTGCACGACAGGGGCCTCCAGCAGCAGCAGCTGCTGCTGCTGCTGCAGCAGCAGCGGTTGGTGCTGCTGCTGCTGAGCAGCAGCCGCTGCTACACCGGAAGCAGAAGCAGCAGC